ACATCATCTGTGAAACATGGTGGAGCAGTGTGATGGCATGAGCATGCATGGCTTCCAGTGGCACTGGGTCACTGGTGTTTAGTGATGACGTAACAGAAGTCAGAAGCAGCCGGATGAATTCTGAAGTGTATAGGGATATATCTGCCCAGATTCAGCCAAATGCAGCAAAGTTGGAGTTTTTGAAGGTAAAAAAGTTGAATATTCTGCAATGGGCAAGTCAGTCTCCTAAACTCAAACCGATTGAGCATGCATTTCACTTTCTGAAGACAAAACTAAAGGCAGAAAGACCCTCAAACAAACAACAACTGAAGTCAGCTGCAGTAAAGTCCTGGCAAAGCATCACAAAGGAGCAAACCCAGTCTCTGGTGATGTCCATGAGTTCCAGACTTAAGGCAGTCTTTGCCTGCAAAGGATTCTCAACAAAATATGAACAATGAACATTTGATATTTCATAAATAAAATGTTCATAAAAATGGACAAAAATTATTTGTCCAATTACATTTGAGCTCCTTTATATATGCTGTGTATAAAAATGGTTGTAATTCCTAATGTTATATTTTTGTTCAACCCCTTGAATTAAAGCTTAAAGTCTGCACTTCAGTCAAATCTTGAATGTTTTATTTCAAATCCATTGTAGTGGTGTATAAAGGCAAAAGCACAAAAACTCAGTCAGTGTCCCAGTACTTCCGGACCTGACTGTACATGTCAATTGTGTAACGAAGGTAGATATTAACTGTGTACAGATATTTATTTCAGGACAACGGTATTTTTCATAAATTTTATATAATATAATATTGGCATGTGATTTAATCATTCTAAATTTATACAGGTTATTAATTGCACAGTAAAAAAAAAACAGGCCTTACATAAACTTATGTTTGTTTGTTTTTTTGAATGTAGCATTTGTTTAACAGATTTTGTTGTTAGGTTACAATTTACATTTACATTTCTTGGGCAATATTGGTGGCAATTATTATTTTTTTTAATAGTTTTTGTAAATTTCTTTATTAATAATTAATTTATTTTTAGTAAAGATTTAGTGACCAATGCGGATCTTACCTGGGGTATAATGTGTGACAACTAGCCCCAGCCCCCCTACCTGAAAAAAAATGACAGTCATAAATGGACTATAGCATATGGCAAAACTACGGCATTATATAATTGTTTAACAGATTTTCATACTTTGTGGACTCAACCACATTTAAAGAAACAAAACAAAATCCTGATTATTAGTCATTTCTGGGTATTGCCACAGGAGGCTCAGAACAAACACAAAACACACACTCACACCTGTATACACACCCATTATAAACACATCAGGCCTGAGTGACTAACCTGTGAAAGCATCACCTGTGCTGAGTTACTGCAGGTGGGGGTATAGCTCAGTGGTAGAGCATTTGACTGCAGATCAAGAGGTCCCCGGTTCAAATCCGAGTGCCCCCTGTTTTTCCCAAAACACTTGCAATTGAACAGAAACTTCTGGTAGGGTTTTCAAATAGACTTTGGGGATAACATAGGCCAGACTGATGAAACCTGCCATGAATATCAACAAGCAATAACACACAGACAGGACCTGGTTACCACACACAGATCTGGATCCACTCATGTCTACATGGAGTGTTTTATCTCTCTTTTTTTAAAGATTTTTCTTAAAAAGTTGTTAAACCAACTGTTTGTTGTTGTTTAGGCCAACAAGCACAATAGTAAGATGACAATGAAAGTATGTGAATATTGCTCAGAGTCGAACCCAGGACAAACTGCTTTGCAAAAAGAAAACAGGCACAGGCAAACTCACTGAGCTACATACAGTTATCTGTAATAACGCACAATTTAATCTGATGAAAGTGTCATGAAATCAAAATGTCTACTGTATTTATTTGGAGAGGATTGCATGTAGGCTAGTTGTGTGCTTAGCCACTAGATGTCTCCCCAAACAAAGCTGAAACAGATCAGAGAACGCCGTTGATCAAGAATCTGGTGGAAGGTCTGAAATCTGAATATTATAAAACGAATAATAGACACTTTGTAACATGTTCACTTAATCTCACTTTATATCACTTTTTTAGCAAGAGCTATTGGTGTGGCCATACCAGAGTAATCGGAATATTGCAGTCATTTGGCTATTTTCGTTGCTGAGGACAATGCAGACACAGCTCAGTAATAAACTATTTATATATCTAGAGGCTTTTGTTTGTAAACGCAAAGGCTGAACAGATTTTAAAACATTAGGCATTATACACTTGTCGACTTGGTAAATGGTTAGAAAAACGGTGCATCATAAACCACTGAGGACCACAAACTAGACTCAAGCTGTGCAGAAACACGCGCCTCGTTGCTAAGAGACACGAGCGTTAGAAATGAAAAGAATATGTTCCAAAATCACCTTTAGAATATAAAACATATTTGATTTCATTTTATATTTATTCATAACCTGAAGCTAAAGGCTGAAAATCGGGGTAAAATGGTGTGATGTATTCTAGCCTTTACGGTATTGTTCTTGTGAAATGTAATCACAGAACAATGTTTTAATGAAAGTTGGTTTCCTCATGCATAGTGTGATTAACTTGCTCATTCTAGCACCATACAAATTTTCCCCTTTGTAACTATGATTGACAGGCCTAGGACCAGAAATATAGACTGATTTCCACAGAATTGGATTTGTTTCTAAGTAAACACTGTCACAATCTCCAGCTGGAGTGCACTCCATTCTGTACTTTGCTATTCACTCAGGACTCCATTTCCCATCATCTTTTGCCCGGACCCATCAGCACTCATTATCAGTTCATAGCTGCCTCATATTAGTAGGACTATAAGAATAGCACACACACTCTCTGTCTTCGCTGGTGATTAAATGTTGGTTAGCCTTTCAGTGTTTTCCTGTGTTCCTAGTTTTCTTGTTGTTTTTTTTACTCTGGACTGTTACCTTGTTTTTGTTATTGCTTGCTGCCTGCCCTGACAATTGCCTGTTTTATGAATGACCCTTTTGCCTTGCCTCTGTTATTGTTGTTCGCTGGTGTTCTGACCCTCACTACCTTGGTATTAGTTCTGGAATAAAGCCTTGCATTTGGATCCGCACTCCGTTGTACAAACCCTATGCATGCATGTTCTCATGTCGCTTTGTCCCCATGTCTTTTTTTCTGCCAGTATGCAATCTTTCTTTCTTTCTTACACATTTGTTAAGATCTTAGTAAATCATAAGTACAGACCAATAGAAGGAACATTAATACTTCCCAATAGATATTGTCCCAATTGATTTGTGGCCAGATGTGTCACTCACATTTAGTATATTCTGATATTGTTTTTTTTTTTGGGGGGGGGGGGGGGGTCATGTGGTCATGTTCACAGTAGCTCGTCCCGATAAATAAGTGAATTTAAATAGGCAAGCATGACATCTTTAACTATCAGTAGATGATCCTGAGCCTGCAAGTGTGATATGCAGAACAGTGGATTGTAACACAAATACCCCAAGCCAAGGAATTTCTTCCAGCTGCTTTGATAAAATAATTCACAGTTTAATATTTTTTGTATTTTTCACTCCACCATTTTAATACTGCTTTCCACTCTGTAGCAGGGGTGGCCATGAAGACCCATTGCTTCATTAGATCATTGCAGGCAAGAAACACCTCCTTTATAGAGTGAAGTAACAACTTGAACTAGAAGAGTTTTATCCCTGTAAACCCATATTAATCTATTTGAATGGAAAGAAAATATATAAAACAAACTCAGACTGTCATACACACCTTTAAATACGTTGTTATAGATGAACCGTTAGGTTGTGAGCTGTTACTGTGGGGGTATAGCTCAGTGGTTTGACGGCAGACCAAGAGGTCCCTGGTTCAAATTTGGGTGCCCCCTATGTGAGTTCTCCTTTATAGTAATCAGACCACATGGGTAGATGCAAGAAACCAATGTGAATACACACATAACTAATCACAAATCTGAACAATAATATAAGCAAAGAACCGGAAGCCTTCAATTGAATCTGCAAGACCTTAAAATCTCACCTACCAGTAACACACAGACACAGGGCCTGCTTACCAAACACACACCCTAACTGACTACATAAGCAATCATTTCATTATTTTGCACTCATTTAATGACTCAGCAGAAGGAGAAAGCATGGATAGACTGTCATCATCTTTGCTCACTCAGCAAGCCCACACTGTCATCGATGGAAGCAGGAACTCCCATTTATCCCATACACACAACATTTTAAATAATGAGACATGCTCATTTCAATGATTGTTATCTATTGACTATTACAATAGGTCACCTACATATATTTCATCAACACAGGTCTGTAGGCTGAAACACTGTTTAGTAACAGCATTTAATATTTGTTTGTTAAATATTAAAAGGCTTAAGACTTAAAATCATATACATGCCTCTGTCATTTGGTTAAGCATATCTTGAGCAATGCTATCCAGATATTTGTACTCAACC